GAGTCAGAAGGCCTATCCATTATTCGTGATTGCTTCATTTTGTAGTGCACATAATTAAAAGACAATACAAGACATACTTGGTCATAACCTTGTGTGTTGATAACAGATCTAGGTCAGGTTACAGCTGTTAATAGCAGCTTATGTCCTTGAAAAATTAAGCATTTGGCAGAAGCTAAAGGTAATTTGAAAGCACATATGAGAAATACTGTTGCAATGTGGACATTTAGCTGATAAAAATACATTTAGTTTGCTAGAAAATAATTACAGGGTCACCTTTAAAGAATCTAAAGCATATAGATGTCAGATTATATCTGTCACAAGCTGTCAAAAATGTTTTCTATTGACCTAAAATTATACATGAATTGCTCCAAATCCAAATTATCTTTCAGAGAAAGAGTGTTTACATTGGGATTTTTGCCACAGGGATGTAAGTAAACAGATGAGTACTGTCACCCAGCACATCTGAGTAGGCGACAGGGCCAAGGTTAGGGATGCTATTGACTCTTGACATAGATTCAGTGCAGTGATTTCACATGAGAGCAATTACCTAGGTGCTGGATTGCACTCATTACTTCCAAAATGTTTGAAGCTCCATCTGTTCTTTCCAGATTTTTCTTACTTAAGCCATTTGAAAACAACAAGACAACAAAACAAGCAACTTCAGAAGAAGAGGTTTCTAAGGTTTCACAATTAATACACAAAGAACTCCCCAGTGCTACATAAAAATGGGGAGCAGAAAACAAAGAGGAAATTCACATAAGAATACAAAAGCCAAACTCCGAGCCTGAGAATGTGACACAAAGAAATTTTCTTGTCCTAGATGGCCAAGGTTTCTTTATCGAGGTTGGAAATATTTTAAAAATAGATTGTGGTGAAGCTGTACAATCGTAAATATATGAAACAGTCATTGAGTCATTCTCATAAAGTGCGTGCATTCTATGTTGTGCAAAATGTATCTTAATAAAGCTACTAAATAAGGAAAAAGAAGAAAAAGAGAAAGAAAGTCCAAAAATACCAATCATGGAATTCAGGGAAGAGACTATGGTGGTTTCCTGTCCATCACACATTGTTTCTAACATCTGCTTTTTTAGTATATTTGAGAAAATCCTTTGAGGTTGAGAAGATTAGTTATTTAGAATACTCCTACCAAGAAGTCTGTCATAGTGAATGGAGAGAAAATATCCTTCTTAAGTGAACCTTTGAATTCTAGCATTATGGGTCTACTGATTTTTATTGGTATAGAGTGCTGAGCATTCAATCCTAAAAGAAAATAAAGACATTAAATTAAATTTTAAAAAGGCTGAAATGATATTTCTAACCTAAATATCAACAGAGGACATGCTGAGAGGCTTATAGTTCCCTCAAGAGGACTAGGTATCATTCACAACTTTTGGGAGCAATATGGTTGTTTTGAAAAACGAGTAATGTTAAAAACTGCTAGTGCCTAATCAAGATTAGCCTACCTAATCAAGATTCTCTGCCTTGTTCTTGCAAGAAGCTGAGTTCACCCCACCACCTACCCCTTTCCCTAGGGACTGGGCGGCTTCTTTTCCTAATTTTCATAAGGATACTGCTAGCTGTTAAATAGACCACAGAACTGACCAGTCTAGAAATATAAATGGGACACCATCCTGTTTAAAATGTCTGGCATAAATGAATGTTCCTATGTGTTATATCCCCTCTTCCTTTTCTATTTCAGAACCCTTTTTCAGTAGGTACAAATCATGCTATCTATGAGCAAACAGAAAGGCTGCTTAATCTCGGACGTAGCTCAATTATCAAAACTTGTTTAGGCCAATTGCTTATCTCCCAGACAAACTGCTACCATATAGTCAGTCCATGACCTCGAAACATCTGACTTCAATACATTAAAGAAGGAAAGAGGCACATTGAACTTAATTATTATACCTTATGCAATTGTCACTAATTGTGATGTGTTGTCAGACATCCAACACAAATGTTAACTCTAATTTAACTTGATATCTAAATTAATATTAACTACTATATGTCAACAAATTATTCTTCGGCCAGGGGCAGTTTTAGCAGTGAGATAGATCTCAAATACTTTGAATAAGCAAAGAGTCCACAACATCTTAGAATTAACCATCTATCTATGCTAGCAAGCATCTTGTCTTCGAGGCCTGCTGATAAAAGAAGCAATTTTTAGAATGCATTTAGATTGCTTATAAAATTTAAGTGGATATCTAAGACAATTTTTTTTCACTTTCCCTTCTAAAACCAAATTCGACATTTAGCTTAAATTTCCAATAAGGATTTAAATTAAAGTCATATTTTAAGGCATAAATAACTTTTTAATTTATTTTCCCAGACTTAGGCATACAGTGGGCATTCAGTATATGGCGTTTATTGGTTTATGCATGCCTGTGACTGCTTTATATTATAGCTATATTGCATTGCAATGTGGCTTAGGTTTATTTGTTCCTCGGGGAATTATCAGGTGTTACTAATATCTCTAAAGATAGATAATGAAAATGAGACTTAGAGAAGTCACCACAATTCCAGAGTCACACAGATATTCAGACTTCTTGTGTTTGGCTTTTATTGCTTTTATGCACATTGGTATTTCACATTTGCATATCTTACAAAAACTACACTTTTCCAGGAGCTTATAGTGGATATCTGTTTTTGTTTGGTTTTGTTTTCTGCAGCATGTATTCTTTGTTGATAACATATGCTGAGAACTTCCAGTTAGGTAAATGAGGCGCAGAGGAACATCCCCTGGCCACATCAATTTGTTCAAGGATGAACATGTGTGTTCTGTTCAGAACCCAGTAGATGCTGTCAGGCTTTTTTTTTTTCTGGGAAAAGGATTCTCAGTCTTTCTCAACATTCCACTAAAATCTTGAAGAAAGCTGAGTGAGAATGGGGCCAATTTAGAGGAAGTGAGATTGAGAGATTAAGAAGAAGAAATATGGTTAAGGTGATACTTTAAAAAATAAATACTTGTGTAGTACTTATGATGGGCTAGACAGTATTTTAATCACTACATATAGTAACTTAATTCCTCTAAACAAACCAACAAGGTGGATACTCTTACAATCTTGACTTTATAATGGAGGAAATCAATGCACAGAGAAGTTAAGAAATTTGCCTAATATCACAAAGCTAACAACTGAAGAAGGAGGTACTCCTTCAGTCAGTGATCTGACTCTGCTATCTGTGCCCCTAGTCACTATACATAGGCCATACTTTTCAATCTTTCCTGGTATAAATATACTTGTGGCTGATTTTATGCTATTACCATGATATTATCTGGTTTTCAAAATTCTCCAAAATTTAATAATTGGTACAAACCAGCTCTGACATACCACTGCAGCTTAAGTCAAACCTCCCTTCCAAAAGACTGTACCTTTGTCAATTTATATTTCTGTTGGTTTAAGCCACTTTGGACTTTCTGTCTTTTGCTTTATTAGAGTCTTAACTGATACCGACTTTCACAGATCATGAGATACTTTTTCACAAGGTGCTCTTTGTTGTATTACATCTCCATAATAACCTCATGCGATCAACAGATTACGCATAAGTTTTCCCCTTCTATCCATCTGAAGCTGAAATGTAGAAGTTATGGATTTGGTTTATTCCATCAAATCTGGTTACAGAATTACCAGATTAAGAAAAAATGAAAATATGGGGTCCTTTGTTAAAAGCTGTTGAGAATTTCAAGATAGAGACAGAAAAGCATTAAACTAAGCACAGGGCCCTCTGAGCATGGGGGACTTGTGCAAAGGTTACCCACACACCAAGGTAGCCCTTGGTCTATGTCACTCAGCAGGCAAGTAGCAGAGATGGCTGCTGACCTCAGAGCTACAATCCCAAGGCCCACAGTACTTCCTTGCACAGTAAAGGATCTGTAAGTACCTTCCTATGTTTCTATGTGGAATTGGTTGTTTCATTTATTAACACCATTATATGATGTAGTGTTGTCTAATTTCAAGCAAACAACACATCTACACTTGATTCACTCTAAAATTCCTATGTTACAACTGCTATTTATTAGGTCACAGGTAGATCCAGCCTTAATTTCTTGTTTATATTAAGCTTCCTCAGTAACATTAGAAGAAAATATTTCCAGAAATTTATTGATCTAGCAATATTGGACATTTTTCACTTTTCAAGCAAAGCTAGAACAAGAAAAATAATAGCTCACCATTTTAGATTTTTAATCATTTGTCTGAAGCACTCCCTTTCCCCCTTACTGCATTTAACTCCTAGTTGTTTAATCTTTTAAACTTTAGATGACTCTATATAGCCTGTGTATTTTAAAAAATAAAACATGCTCACTCTCATCTCCCATTACAAAATTTCATACTTGTTATGACCTTCCTCACAGAAAACACAGGCATAAGGACAGTTGTTTATAGTGAAATTGTGTTTTTTTCCAAGTGTTGAGCTCCATCTGAGAGTTTTATTACTTAAAGTTTCATATTCAAATATCATTATATATCATGAAAATATTTGGTGATATATGACAATGAAGTAATGGAATGGGAAACAAATTTTATATAATATTTAGAAGCTGCATGATGCGTTTTTACATAACATCTGGGTTCTACTGTTCAATTTTTGATGATTTTAAGGAAACAAAAATCCCCCCACAATAAACAGCTGAATAATGCTTCACATTTCATATATGCAAACAACCAGCAGATAGTTTGTCATGAATTATAACCTAGAAGCAGAGGCTCAATACAAACATTGCTCTCAACAGTTCTGTTTACTTGTTGACTAACTCAGGCTATTTAATTTTCATTCATGTGTGAAACATGAGAAGCTGAGGAGGATATTCCAGCATGGTTCATGTGGCAAAATGTTCCAAGTAATTAAGCCAACCCATTGGTATGCTTTAAAGATGATTTTCTAAAACATTAAAAAAAAAAAACCAAAAAAACCAAGTAATGAAAATAACTCCACAACCAAAGAAGGGGGATTTCCATATTGATAAGAGCAATTCTACCATCCATGATTTATCCATCACCCACCTGCTCAGATCTGTTCCCATGTTGGTATTTGTACTGTGAAAAGGTATTGCAGGAAGAGGCCATTTCGTCCTTCTCAAATTGTTTCTTTACCTTCGCCAAACCCCCAGGCACTGTGCAAACTTCTGATTCTTCCATCGCCTGGAATGATTTAAGAAAGAGGGAAATTCAGCCTTACATCTGTGCAGGATGGAACTCTTGCTGTTTTTTTTAAACAGTTGACAATTATTGATGGGTGGTATATTAAAAAGATATTAACATATGCAATTATTTCTGCAGGCTTTTACTGAAAGCCTTAATAAAATAGTCTCTCCAAGTTGTTTTCTCATTTATCAGTCTTTTCATATAAAATCAGAAGAATCTCCAAAACATTGAGTTAATTTTCCTTATTTCAGATAAATTTTGATAGAGATTAGACCTAGTAGAATGCATTCCTCTAATATTATACTAGTAGACTTGTGGAAACTAGAAAAATGGATTCAATTTTAATCCACAATGAAGTCATTAAAATTCCAAACAGCTGATAGACAACACATTATTAAGAATAATTACTAAAGTCAGTTTTTCACTCCAAAATTTACTGTAATTATGAAGAACAAAACAAAATAAAAAGCCTCACAATATCCCTTATGTAAAAAAAATATAGTAATTACAACAACTGCTTAAAGCACTAGGTCACTTTGCATATATTCATTCTTATTGTGTCAGTTAATGATCCTCAGTATTCTGTGAGATATGGACCCTAGGATTCATATATTAAAGTCAGGAAATTGAGGTTTAGCAAGTTAAGACAGCTTATTAAGCTCTCATAACTAGGGCATGAGTGTAGATGCTGAAGTTTGCGTCACATGTCTGTCTTAATCATGAGTCTCAGAAAACAGGAATGAAAATGGCAACTACCACACTCCAGGATTGGCAAATCCAGGAAGAGTTCAGCTTTGAACACTGGCATGTCAGAATACAGTGGCTTTAATAGTGGGTTCTGGTCCATCCCAGGCATTTTACAGTGAGAGAACTGATTTCAATGCACAGCATTGGAAGCAACTTGAAGAGCACCCAGGAGTGCTGTCAGATCTTAAGCTTCTTCAGGAAGTTCAGAGTAGCTCAAGGGTTTTGGTTTTGATGATTTAACATATTCCAGAATCCAGTGGGCACTAAAGGCCATATGGGATGACAACATTCAAACAGACAAACCCCATGGCAGGAGTTTCTATGTCTGCTTACTGTTGGGAGGAGATTGGTCCGGTCCAGTCCTGACATAACTCTGGGAGCTGAAAAGTTACTGGAGGTCTGGAGCTGAAGGTCCTATACCATAGTCTGTGGACTACTAAGGTCCTGGAGTCTTTGACCAAATATGTGATTTCACAAACAGATGCTAAAAATACAGGATTTGAGTTTTCCATACTCAAGAAAAGTGGGGATCAAGCTCATATTTAGGATTATTTAAATTACTAGCAAATACTCAAGAGTTTACATGACTAAGTTAACAACTTCCCCACTTCTGCTGACTGTCAGACATATCAGAATATGCATACTGGTTGTATGGGGAAAAGAGATATGATTGTGTACTTCTATATATTAATACTTTTCTATCAAATTCTGCAAGAAATCTTAAATGTAAGTCATTTTAATACAGGTGAAGGTCATGAGAAAGTGTAACATCTCTTTTGAAATTTAAGACAGAATAAAGAAACAGAAGTGTACCCTAAGATCACAATATATATATATTTTAAACACATCTTCCATTTATTTTGCATAATGGCCTACCTGCATAGAGCATATGGAGATTACATATAAGTATTAGATTATAAAAATTAAGGTAATTATTGTTAAGAAGAGCCTTGTTTCACACAATTATATATAATGTATAAGTTGTATTAAAATTAATCTGTCAAGCCTCAGTAATTATGAGAATGACTGGATACTTTCCCAATAAGTGTGATTTCATAAAGGTATTAATTCCCATATTGGACAGGCTGCATCTTTTCTACCAAATGGATTAAAGCCCAAACATGCTCATTCCTTTCCTTTAGCATTGTGCTTTGGAATTAGACCACATTGTACATGCAAACATGCATATAGCTTGTTATTTTTCATAGTTGTATTAATCTGACTCTTGCTTCCTCTGAAGTACTAAGACACACTGCTATAGCTTATCTGCTATAGTTTATCTGCTCAGGTGAGATAAACCTTTGAGAGGTGGGTATTGGTAGTGTTAATGTTTCCTTGAGCACATCCTATAGAGAAATGTCTACTCATGGGGAAAAGCAAGATTTTCTCAGGAAGCAGTCTGTGGCCATGGCTGGAGTGAAACTTCCTTGCTCAGGTGATCACTCCTATGACTCTGCCTGGTTTAGTACCATGTTCTAAATATCCTGACCAACCCATGTTGCCATTAATGACCATATAACTGAGACTGCTTTGTATTGGAACTTTTTCACATTTACTTTTATTCTGTGTGTCTTATTGTTTGGTTTGGAAATAAGATTTCCAATATAATGGATATATCAATAATAATAAATTAATGTAAATACCTAACACTTAAACCTAGGTAAATATATTACACAGTCATCAATTCTGTTTAGCAAGAACTGTCCATGAGTTATAGGGCCTAATAGAAATAATATAATTTGGGGAATTGAACCAACAATGATTCTAGTCCAAGTTCTGACAAAACCTTAAGCTAAAGTTCCTGAAACTTCTTACTGATAAACTGGACAGAGCAATATTTTTCTCACGGATTTATTGTGAATGTTAAAAAGGAAAAAGGTAATAAAATCACATAACAAATAATGTAACATTTGAATTTGTTGCTCAGCACGAATTACTTCCTTTCTCTCTTCTAGGGCCTTCTGCAGACAACTGTTTTTTCATGGACATGACTTGCATTTAGGTTTGACCAAATGCCATCTGACTAGATATGGGATAAAGGAGAACCCGATCATTGTTAGCTAGCTAAACATGATTGAAATATATTAGATTCGGTTTGGGTCTGAATCTGTAACTTGTAGATTTTGTACTAAAATAGTGGGGGTGGGAGGAGAGGTGGCCTAAACAATGTGCACACATGTGAGTAAATATAAAAATGATTAAATAAATAAATAAATCCATCAATATTGGGGCTAATTGTGTAGACAGAGAATTAGTCACAAGCAGTTTTCCTGATTTATTTTTGGTAGGATTGATCAAGCCTTTGATACAACTGATTAAAAAACAATTATTTTTCTTTGTATTTATATTTGCCAGGAGTTCTGTAAGATGACAGGTATGTTCTTCCTTATTACAATACTTGGGACAAGCCAAGTATGGTAATTTGGCATCAAAAATATTTCCTTGGATGGGAGAAGGAGATTGAATATAGTTAAAAGGTTATCAGAATCCAGACACCAGGGATTTCCCTTAACTTCTTCACTACCCATTTGTATAATCTAAAGTGATTTTCACTCAATTCTTGGGTGTATAAAATGGGCAGAAAAAGAGAAGGACCATTAAGTTCCTTATGTATATATCATTTTAACATTAGGGTTAATTTTTTAAATTAAAAAGTATGATTATTTAATTTATCTGTGTACCCATTTTAAACATTCTCTTTTTAGCAGCTTAGAAATACAATTGCAAATTCAATGCCCTGTTGCCAATTTTTATGAGATATTATCAATGCACCTGAAAGAGTTTATGTCTTAAATAGAAGACTGATAAATAACCAATCATTAGCCAGGAAATTTCAAAATAGGCTGTTTCCCTAAGAATCATTTCTTTAATTTAGAACTACTTTGTAATGAAGTTCCTAAGTGATCCAGCAGGGGGTGCTCTCTAAAAAGACTGGCAGGAGGCATTACAGTGTTACTCTGTGTTTTGGAAGTAATCTTAATCTAGTTACTTATGTCAGTTTGCACATTCATGCCAAATCTGTACTGTGTCTAAAATATATTTTAATGACTATGTAAAAACTTAAATGGCGTATAGAATTGCAATACTGCTAACAATTTTGGCATCATCAGCCTTGTTTCTAATTTACAATGTTAAGTAGCTATTTTAAAATACTGCCTTTTGTGGCCAATCTCTCTCTCTCTTTCTCTCTCTCTCTCTCTCTTTCTCTCTTTCTTTTCTCCCCCAACCCCTCTCCCTCTCTCTCACTCCCTCTCTCTCTTTATCTTCCTTTACACACACATATACACACACACACACACACACACACACACATACACACACAGAACTAGGCTAATTTGGAGATTATAATCATAAGAACATTTTTATGTCCTATTTAAACTGAAGGGCACAGAATACATAATCCAAAAAATTCTTTTGAATATGATTTTATTACGAGTTGGCTCTAAAAGTGGTGGTCTTACTGAATCCTGCAGTTTCCTATAATCATAATTGGTTTAGCAGAGTGGCTGCATTGCTAATCTCTCTCCTTTCTGTGTTGATTAAGCCTTTCCTAATGGACTTAGTGCATACAGAGAAAAGCAAAAGAAATTATACTGCCAGAGAATTTAAATGAACCACATAGAAGATCAAGGAGGGCAGAATGCAAACCCACATTATTAAAATTTGAAATTAATTCCCAACTTTCCTCAGGAGATAGCTATAGTTTAAGTGATAATGATGACAATAATAACACATTTATGCAGTGCCTTATGGCTTACACATAAATTATCTCCTTTATTTTTCACCAAGACCCTATGTAGTAGATGGTTAATCCCATTTTTCAGTTAAGAAAGCTGAAGCTCAGAGAGGGGTCAAGTTTGTACAACCTATAAGAAGCACAGTTGAACCTTAATTTCAGATGGTCTGAATTTGATTTACACTATTTTTGTCTCCTTTCAACTTTATCCCATGCTTAGTTGTATTTTTGTCTAGAGAAAGCAAGCAGAATACAAAACCTAACACAAAACCATCAAGAGTAGCTTACATTAGCCAAGAAGTCGCGGCAGTCACCTCTGGAAACAGCTGCCTGATATCTTGCCATCCGCTCCTTCAGAGAGACCACGTCTTGGAGAACCGGCAGGTCCTCACTTCCAGCAACACTGTCTTCTGTGGGCTTGGTAGGGCCAACGGTCACTGAAAGCAAATGCAGCATGCTTAGATACTTGTAAGGCTTGACAAGATATAGCATAAGCGATACAGACATATGAAATACTTGTTCTCATAAAATAGACTGCAACATGCTACAGTATTTTTGATGTTTCATGAGCAAACTTTACTTCAAGCTTTCATGCAAAGTTAAAAAAAAGCCTATATGAGAGCATATGCTTATAAAAAATTGTTTTTACCTCCTACTCCTGTGATTGAGAAACATCTATTTATTACCGATGTATAATGTTAGTTAAGATTCCTCAAGCACTGTGTGTTGTATTTACGTTAAATGCTATAAAAGCACTATCTCATTTACTTCTTTAACAACATTGTGAGTAGGTGCTGTTATTTGCTAAAATTTATGTATGAGAAAAGAAGTTCACAGTATTTACAGAAACTTTCCCAGGATCACAGTTCATAAGTGGCAGGGTTGAACATGGTTAGACTAAATCTTCAGCAAGTCTAAAAATGGCTCTTTGTTTCTTTCCTTACCCCTCAACCCTCAAGGAGATTCAGCTAACAAAAATATGCAAGTGCTATGAGAATTATAGACTGCAGTTTTTCTTTTATTCATAGAGGTATATCTTACATAAGAGAAAAGTGATTGTATCATTAGAAACAGCTTTGCCCATCACACATTTCAGACAGTCTGATATTTTCCCACTAAAGCATCTACCTGACAAAAATGCAGGGTATTAGCAATTACACACCTGGAAACAGCACAGGACTGAGTGCATGATCTGAGTGCAGGTGTTAGAAATAGAAAATTCTTAGAGATTGGCTGGTCTAACTCAATCTAAATATATTCTTCCAGGCATAAGGAGCCATGTGCCTAATTGTTCTCCACCGTTATTTAGCTTATATATGCCAGAGCTGGCTTCAAAACTAAGTTTTCCTATTTAAATTAGTGCTATTTGTTATCTTATTGCTCTGCTTGATGGTTCATTAGTCACTATAAGGATGCTTGTATATTAACCTCATTCATGCACCCATGCTTTTCACTTTTAGGGGTAGCTCTTGGAACTGAAAGGTTTCAGGCTCTCTGGTGTACTTTATTGGGTTTAGTTGCTATAATCATTGTGAACCAAGGATCAAACAACCTCAAGTAACAGACTTCTAAATCATTCCCTCACTTTTCTGTTACTCCTCTCAGCCTTTAGCCTCCACATCAACCCTTCTTACTGAATTATTTGCCTTTTAATTGCTGTCTTCAATGTTTATGTACACAATGGAAGTTGAGAGAAACTTTTGTTACTCAGAAATTAAACTAAACTAAAGATCATTTGCATTTTGACTCCCTCCAAGAGTATTTGGTGTTCTATAGAGAGTTTATATTTAAGTAATTATTTTCATAGGTTTTAATTAAAGTAGTAAAATATTTCATTTAGACGTGTTATAAAATATAAAGGAATAAGAAGTTGTATTATATGAACACTGTGATTATACAACCCTGATATGCTTACGACAAATTTTGGCTGTTTTTGAAATTCACCTCTCATCTAAACCCTCATATCCAATCCACTCCTCCAGTTGCTTTTGGTAAAAAGAGTTCCCTCCCACCTCCCAATTACATATTAAAGAAAAGATATCTCTATTTTTCCTGTGAGTGATCTATCTGCATAGATGAATTCAGTTTATATCCAGCTGTACGTGCTTTGTTATGAATGTACACTAGTTTTTATTGAACATGACCCATTAAAGTTTTTCCACATTAAATTTTTATTCTGTGTACTACTCATAAATGTGGCTATTTTGCTCTTTTATTTTTTTATTTTTTCATTTTTCTTTTATTATTCATATGTGCATACAAGGCTTGGTTCATTTCTCCCCCCTGCCCCCACCCCCTCCCTTACCACCATCTTTTATTAATCTTAGTGGAAATCTAACTTGTTTACTTTTGCTAAAATTACAGATGGTATTTGCTTATCAAGCAATCAATTGTTATCATATTTCAAACTACTGAAAATGATCAAGGTGTTATTATTCAAGAAATCAATGGGCTGTGTGTTAAGGGATTTGGATTCCATTGTCTCATTGACCTTTTTTGGCTGAGTATGAAGAAGACACTTTATTTCTCTCTCTCTCTCTCTCTCTGTCTCTCTTTCCTTCCCTCTTCCTCTCCTCTTTCTCTCTTTCTCTCTTCCTTCTCCATCAGTAATTACATATTCAGGTAAGTGTAATGGCACGGAGTAGAAAAATTACTTGCAGGTAACAGGGCTGTATCCATATTGTTTCTTACTCTTCTAAGATGATGTATGCTAAAGTCTTCATGAGAAAAAGGAGATGCTTGTTGTGTAGTCTAATGCAGTGCCCCTAACTTGGTAATGATAATACCTGATGTACATTTTCAATGTTGACAAGACAGCCGTTTTCTTAGGGATGTGTGGGGGGGAAAAGTGAGGGACATGAGGAACCCAACCTCATCATGCCCTAGCTCAAAAAATTGAATTTAAGTGGGCTTGCAGAACAGCACAAAATGAATTTAGAATATTCTTTAAAGGAGAAAAGAGACAAAAGAACACATAAAGATTCTGGCTGTAGTACAATACTAGTAGAAAAATAGGGAATGCTGAAACCTATCACTATGCAAATAAGACAGAGGAACAAGCTAAAATGCTCTGTGGAAAAGAAAAAAAGGAAAAATAAAATTTTCAGATGACTATTCTAGTTAGAAAGCATCATAAATATTAATATCAAAAATGATTTTGTTAGATGTTTCCTCTCTCTGGAGATTACAGGTAATCCATCATGCAGATAAGTAAACAAAAATCCATAGTACGATGTGCCACACTAAATATAGAAAACTTTGACTTATTTGCTCATACAAACATAATTGCCAATGGATTGAAACATTAATTCCTTGTGTAACAAAATAAATCTAATAAAGGATAAAAAACTTAGAAAAGGATTTTAAAAGAAAACAAATACCAAAATATAATCATGACAACTACTAAGATTCCGAAGACAGGAATATCTTTTATATGTGTTCTCAGAGTCATGGAGAAAAGATTTACATCACATATTTGTTATGCAAAAAGGTATATAAACATATGCGCATCTAACTTCTGTCCATTATTATTTTCTTAACTCATGAGACACTGTGTGATTAGAGTTCTATTTTATCAAGCCCCAGACATTTGCTTTTCCTCTATAGCTTTTGAAAACAAGCTAAGTTTATCAATCAATAAAATTTTCCCACATTGCAGCCTTCCTGAATTTTATTTGCTATGGATAGTTTATGCTTAAAGCATTTTTAAGAACAACAGTGGGACAATATATACAAGCAGACTGTGCTTTCATTTTCTGCCAATTATTCACATATCTGTAGTCAGAGATTGCATAGTTACTCTTCTCTGTTTCCTTGGAGGCAATAAAATAATGACTCAGATGTCAGAGACAGAAAACAATGGTGAATAGTCAATGTAATTAATACCACTGGATTTTTCTCCTACTTTCACAATTTCTTTATCAAAGAAAGAATACTTAGGCACCCATACATATTAATATCAAGAGCCATTACAAATGAGTTATCAAGGAGTGGGAGTGTGGCTCAAGAGGTAGAGCTCCTGACTAGCAAGTGAAAGGCCCTGAGTTCAAGCTTCAGTATGGCCTCCTCACCCCCAAAGAATCATCCTCATCTAGGTGTTCAGAAAATTTGAAATTCAATGGTTTGTAAAAATTATGTGTTCACACAGCATTAAGAAGTGACATGCCTATTCTCTTGTCCATCAAGCAACTTTCTAAACACCAGAAATATTATAAATATGATCCTAAGATCTCCATATAGTAACGATTTTGAAATAAAAGTCAACAGCTTGATACATAGAGCTAGGGGTCAATGTGTTGCTCAAAAACACTGTCAAGAATAAGAAAAATGTCCATGCAGAAAATAGCTCATGTGGCAGGGTCACCAAGCCAAGAGCTTTGTCACTCTCTCATTTCTATAGCCACATTCCATCTCAGTTCGTTTTCTAAATGTAAATATTTCTTAGTTTGAAAAATGTCATATGAAAAGGATGACTGCATAACAACATAATGGATGTCATTGGTTGAAAGATAAATATTAAATACTACATGCTCTGAAAGTGGTTTACTCAAATATTATTTAAATTTGTAGGAATTAACTCTTTCCTTCTCCTTTTTAGCTGTACAATATGGACTGTGTAAAAGTTTGTATAATTAATATGAATAACAAAACAAAGTAAAAAGTCTATAAAATAAAGTGGGAAGCACTTTGAATTTTTCATTTCATTAAGAAACTGTTTGCTAATATCTGGGTTGGGAAGCTGATAGCCATGTCTGATTTACAGCAGAAACAGATCTACCTGGAAGAGGTAAAACAGAAGACAAGAGGATAGAAAGAGATGAGAAAAGTACTAGGGATATTGATGTACTTGTAAGAATTAAGGTACACATTGAAGGCAATAAATAGAATAATATATACTACAGAAAAGAAAATCAATAACATTAGCAACGATATGAAAGAATATCACATAGTAGAGAAGAGAAAGTCTAAACTACAAGCATTTCAGTGTGAGAGCCAGAGAACAGATAGAACAAATAAGAAGAAGTGAAAGACATATATTGCTGAAAATGAAATTTGGGCTACATTTAAAATATTTACAATAACCCAGAAATAAATTTAACTAAAACATCAATGTATTGGGAAATCCTGGTGAAAAATTTAATTTCAAGAAAAGGAAAAATGTTACAAATATCCAGATACATGAAGAGTTTCTGTGATGAAGAACCAAACTTCAGACATTCTTAGATATTTCCTTTACAACACTAAACTCTAATAAGAATTAAAGAACCAATTATTGGTTATTGAAGTTGTAGATTTATGAACTTATATAAGAATCCACGTTGACAATCATGTTTGAAGGCTTCAAAAAGTCAAACACAGGTCATTTAATAATAATTTTAAAAGCAGCCAAAGGCTGGAGGCTAGTGGCTTATGTCTATAATCCTTGCTACTCAGGAGG